AAAAAAAAGATCTTCTCTTTCAACTTTTTTTTCATCTGTTTGTGTGATTGTTGGAAATGGCAGTATTCTGTTTGACTTCAATGTGGGCCTTCTTGACTGTACGGCCACTTTTTAGATTCCTCTTCCTCGATCAAACAGGCTTCATTGAACAACTCTGCAGCACTTTCCTTTTGAAAGAGAAAATTTTCCAAAAATTGAGCATAGGCTAAGTAAAAAAAACAAAATACAATCAGCCATCACGAAAATTGTATCTAAAACATACCTCTAATTGCAGATTTATCACTTCCAAAATTTATCATGAGAGTACTAAACAACACTTCACATTCAACTGTTATTAATTCTATTTGCTGATTAATGGAGATTAGTTTGGATTCTGAAACTATTTCATTCATCAATTCTTTCCAAAAGAGTTTGTGTAAATGTTTCAATTTTTGTTGCTTATTTTCCAACTTTTGAAGAATTGTTTTCATTTCTAAAGTTCCCTTCTTTTTACTTCCTTGTGTGGATCGAATCTCCATCTCCTTAATTCTCAAATGAATAAAATATCTCTTCATAAATGTTGGGTGCAATTTCAATGCTCTATTCAATAAAGTTGAAGCAAATATTGAAGCATTTGCATCATCTTGAACAAAGTTTGATATTAAAGTTGCTGCAGATACAAACAAATCAATGTCGTGAAAAGATTTTTGAGAAATTGCCCCTTTCACAAAAGATAAAGCCAAATTGAAATCTGGATGCTTGTAAATCAATTTTCCAAGAGGAGCTACAAATCTCAAAAATAGATTGACATTTCTGTATTTGCTCTCTTCATCAATTAATTGGCAAAGAGAAGAAATCAAGATTGTTTCTGGTGCTTGTTTCCATCCATTCGTGTTGTCATCTGTTACTAGATAGAGAGTAATTAAATCTCGAACCGAATTGTAGACACGTCTTGTATAGACTTCCATAATTAAAAAACCCAAACAAAATAACACCAGCGCAAAAATAAAGGATGCACTTGCAATAGAAACTCCGAGAACATTTGCATTCTCTGGCGTCATTTCAATTCCAATCGTAGTCAATAGTAGAGTAGCAATAGAAAATGCAATCCGTGCAAATCCAAAACCTGCCCAAATTGAATTTTCCCACCTCGTAAAGCAAGGAACACTATAAAACAAGTAGACGATAAATATAATTGAAATGAGTATGGATAAGCATGGTAATACATAGCTGTACTGATAGGGAATTAATTGCACAGCAATCCAATAAATTTGGTTTGTAAATACTAGATACATGATGAGTATTGGATTGGAAATGTTAGAAAATGTATCTGACAAAGGGCTCAAATCAACAAAAAATAATACCCCAAATTGAGTTATTATTAATTGGAGTATGAGAGTTAGAGAAGACAGAACGATGAGCACATAATTAGTGATACTTTGGCAACTCTCATTCTTAAATCGTATCAAAGTCATGGTATTAAAATCACAATTAATAAATGAGGTAAGAATGTGGGTTGAGGGAATATGAATGACCATGAAAAAGACAAATAGAACACTTATGATTGCTTGTAGTGTTTTGGTATACCGAGAGCCGTTTTTGGAGAATCTATAGAGAACATAAAACATAATTGATCCAGTAGCAATAAGAAGCAACAGAGCTCCACTGATGACAATAATGCCCACATATGGAACCATTTCCATGAGCCATGATCGACAGAATCCAAATACCTGCGATGCATTGCCGATTGAGTGTAGATATAGCGTGTGGAGTGTTGACAGAATTCATGTCAAAAAAGTCGAACAAATTTACAACAACAATCGAGAGATTTATCTCAGGACTGAGAGGTACGAGAATATAACAACTTACCATCATGATATAAACTCCCCAATCTCCCCAGTGATAGCTACGATGATCTTCATAAGGCACTGCTAGACTCAACGTGGATATCATGAGATACAAGTAAAACAAAGCATAGCCTACATTGTTCCAGGTGAGGAATCTTGAAAATACGCTAGAGAGTTTCTTTTTTGTACTCCATGTTGTTTTTTGGTTATACATAGAAGAAGCCTTAAAAAAGGTGTTTTGTTGCAAGTTTACCACAAACGTAATGAGGTTTTCTTCGAATGATCTCAACGCCTCCGAAGACAGGATGGATGACCGTGTTGAAGAATAGGATCTTGAAGTACCAGTCTCTGAACGTACCCCAGACATGGTTGCGCTTAATGGACCCGATGAATGTTGTTGTCTTGTTCCATCTTCTTCAGTGGACATTCCAGTATTAATTACAATATTACTCGTACTATTGAAGGAAGCCATTGATGATGCTCGATCCATGTTCGTATTAGGAGCTAACGAATTGGATCGCTTTCGTTGTGATTCGCCACTACTCGATACAAGGAGTGTATTATTACTACTATTGCTGGTAGAAACACCGCGAGCAGAGACTGGCATTGTGTGTCCAGTTACTCCACCACCACCAAACGTTGAAGCCTTACTACTATCCACCAACAGTTGGCTGGTCTGAGAGGAAGAAGGTGTTGGAGTGGCATTGAGGTGATGGGTGGGAAGAGAAGCCATTTTTTGAGAGAATGGGCTTGATCGTTTAAGGAATGTCAATAATGCCGTTCGTACAATTCTCTCGGATTGGAAAAAAATTGGCCAATTCGGTGCTCCTCGTCACTAGTGATCGATATTATAACATTAAACTTGAATCAACAGAAATCAGTCGATGGTACAATCCTCGATGATGGCCTCCCTTAAAAGAGTTTGATGATTCAGATTTGTTTCGTGCGCACGAACTTTAGAGTTATATGGAATTTTAAAATTTCACGAACTAAACGTACGATAAAATCTGAATCATCAATATTATATTACCATTCTGAAACAAATATATCAACGAAGTAAATTTTGTGATATAATGTTTTTTGCAAACTGATTGCTGAAACAGTTGCAATCACCCAGTGGTCATATTTTTTAGCAACGAAGAGAATGTGGTCATTTGATGCAAGAAACATTAATTAAAGGTTCTGGAATTCCATTAGCCATTGAGTTGAGCGTTGACAGATCCATCCGTTCACAATTCAATTACAACAATTCAAAACAAGAAGTTCAAAGTTGTGTACTTGCTCATTTCCATTCGGGTCCACAAGAGAGCATTAAAAAAGCCGAAAATTGTTCTCCTCTTCCGGAAGAGCAACTTCAAAAAAAATTCTCTTTGATTTTCGTTGATTCAACAGCGGCGATTGTTGAAAGTTCCAAAACAACCTGTGTAATATCTTGTCGTTTGCTTTTTTTGCGGTTGTTGCCACACAGCTCCGCCGAATGAAAGGATTCTTTTAGAGCGTTGTTTGGATAATAGCTCTGTTCCTTCTTCATCACCACAATAAAACATCATCACAACAGGATATCCCCTCTTCACATTGTCAACAACAACAACAACACACACATTCAGAGAATAGTAGCTCATCCTGGTTTTAATCATTACAAGTTCTCTATTCTGCGGAACCAGCGAGAGCAGTAAATAATTTACAATCACCACCATTCCATACTTGTCAGGTATTTGATCCTTCTCCTCCACTGAACACCCGATCCTCCTTCTCCTCCAGAATATGAATCCTACCACAAATAATTATCAGAACACAACCACCAACCCGCAACCCCACCATCATTACCAGCAGAATTATTCCAATCATCAGCATCAGCCTGGAGGTATTACCACTACGAGCAGCAACAGCAGCAGCGGGATACTCACCTCTTCAACAGCTCCACTTCTAGTCTCTCACCAATCTTCTCATCACAATTATCCATCCTCATCCTCATCGCTACACTATCCTCCTCATCATCATCCACGAGGAGTTCCATCGGTTGTATCATCAGCAGCTCAACAACCACATCATTCAACAATTCCAACAATCACTCCTAACCACCATCTTCCACAAAACCATCAACATCCGTCCTTTGCCATTCCAACTTCCTCTCAACCACAACAACAACCACCACAAACAAATTCCAACCAAACCTCACCATCTGTCTCACAACAACAAAACGGAAATTTCAATACTCTCAATCACAACAACATGAGTAACAACAATTCTGCAGAACCCAAACTGCGTGTCTATAACTCACTTCTCAAAACTCCAGAAGGGATATTTACCATGGATTCAGCAAGCTTAACTTGTGAACCACATGGCTTCAAACCGAATGATCGACGTGGAGCACCACAAACCACACATAGTGTCTATGTGAGTGATGTTTTAGTGGTGAGCTGTGATTTGATGAGTGGTAACAATCATCAACCTGGAATATTTCAAAACTGCACAGCAAGATTGGTTCATTTGTTGGGCAACAATGGTGGTACAGGCAATACAACAACATCATCAAAACGAAAGAAGAAGAAAGATGGAGGTAGTGGTGCTCTTGATAACGAAAATGATGACACCAATGCTGCTGATGATTTGGGATCGGAGGATGAACAAAACGATGACTCACAAAAGAAAAAGTCAAAGAAAAAGAACAAGAAAAAGGATCAAGATGATTTAAGCGAGGATTTTCAGGCGACCGATTTCACACAAGCAGGGATGTTGGAATCATTCGAATTACTCTCAGAACAACCATGCCAGGAAAATATGCAAAAAGGTAAAATCATTGCATCTCTTAAAGTTCCTAGAGTGAGAGGCCGAGATTGCAAGACCAAGACAGGTCAAGTTCAAGTCATTCGATTCAAAGGAAATCCAGAAATGGAACAAATTATCGCAGTGAGGTATGTTTAATGACAAACAATAATTTCAAAATTGTTTTCATCTTGATTATTCATGTTGAAACAATAACTTCTCATTCCCTCACGTCTGAATTGAATATTCAATTCAATATTCGTATTTCACAAAATGTATTTATGAAAATATACCTTGCGAATCTCATGTTTTCAAATGGTGATGATTACTTGAAAATCATTTAATTTTTAATTCACCCTTGATTTTCACCTTTTTGCATTCATCAACTCTTTCATCAACTACACATCTAAAAACCATTTAATGTTTTTAATGCACAGTGACCTATTTTGGATACGGTCAAGAACAAGAACTGAGATGGAAGTTAGAAAATTGAAAAAGCAATCTGCTTCATCGTCCTTATCTTCTAACATGCATGAAAGTAATAGCACTCTACAACAACAGCAAGTAGCATTGAATTGGCCCAATGTTGTCAAATCTACTACTGCTTCTCCCTCTAACGACTCCTCGCCCAACAATAACAATTCCTCAGAACAACTTCCTCCCAAGAAAAGACGTGGAAATTCTAGCCCAGTCAATGTTCCTTCTGCCACAACAACAACAAGCAATAACATCACAAAGGAACTCCCAAGTCCATATAGAGTGGGTATTGGTCATTTTCCTTCCTCACATCACAACATGTACCATCATCATGCACATCACTCAAATAATGCAGTAGTGGCTAGTGGACATCCTTCACACTTTCCAATATCGAATGTTCTCAATAACACAACGACTCACTACATGACGTCCCATCCTCCTCCTCATCACATGACCACAACAGCAGACCAACATCTTGCTGCTTCTTCTGCGCATCATTCCTATGGCAGACCTGAACAACAACAGCAAGATCAATACGAAGAATTGAAACAACGCATACACTATTTGGAGGATAAAGTTCACGAGTTGGAGCAAATAATATTGAGATATGGAATGTCAAAACAATCTCATCAACAACAACCATCCACTTCTCCATCGTCCGTTACACTTCAAATGCCACCACTAGTGCCTTCACAAGCTCATTCCGTACAATCAACATCAACAGCACAACAACATCAGCTACCTCCTCATACTCTTCATGAAATGCTGCACACCTCACCGAATGTTGACCGTTTATTCCTCTCCACCCCGAAAACATCATCAGGAAGTAGCAGTGCTGCCTCTGTGGGAGATACAACGACACCAACACCGACCAATCCCTCCTCTATTGTTTTCAAACCTTTCCCCATTGACATGTTCAGCCAAGACATTCCAAAAGTGCAAACGAACGACTCTAAAAAAGAAACGCCAAGTCTCCCCAGTATTCCGTCGATTATTCAAAATGTGGAGTCACAAAACAGTACCCCTAGTGTTTTCAAGATATTCGATAGCTCAGATCCAATTTTCCCTATTTCTAACACTCCCTTCCTTAGTAAGGATCCAAATAATTATTCTTCACCCAATATTTTACAATCCTTCTCTCAACCTAAAGAAGAGGAACAGAAATGAGGTTTTGATACCATGTCATGCTTATATCTCTCCATTTTCTTAATATATCACTAGAGGTGAATGAATTGTACATTTTTAATAAAGTAGGGCAGTTGCAACGAACTAAGGCTTACTTATGTGATCATGATTTAGTGTTGTCATTAGGAGGAAGTCATTAAGCTGAACTACAGTAAGATTTTGTTGTGTCAGATAGATCCCAAAAAAGTGACATTTGAGGTTGACCAAGCACCGCGTTCCTTGATGGTTGGTTTCCCAATTACAAAAAAAACTTTCCAAGCTGACATTCATTCTCACCACCAACCATGACCCTCATTCCAAGAACTGCTGCTGTACTCACCGCTTTCAGTGTTGTCGTGGCCACCATCACATGGACAACCACTGCTCCAAAAGTAAACAAGAGTCATTAATCTCTCCAGAGAAGGTATTCACCAAAGCAACCGATCGGTTTGCAATTTGATCGATCAAGAAATCATGGCTTATTAACCGTTAACAAATCGTGTGATCAACTTGCACCAATAATGCGTACCTTTAGAATTTGTATTATATACTTGTTAGGTTGCTCTTTATGAACATCTTCTTGTATATTTTGTAATTTATATTTCCAAGAATACTATTTGTATCATATATATATAACTACACGAAATGATCCATCGTTTCTATTGTTGAGTTGTCAGCACAACGACCACTGATCAGCCTCTTTTGGGAATTTGTAGAGTTTGTGTGTTGTTGTTTATTCAAATAATAAATCATCCGAGGGTTTTAAAGATGATTGTGATCATCAAAAATTCTCACTTGTTGTGTTCGTTGTTGATCAAGCAGCGCCGACCGTGTGTTGAGCTGAACTTTACAACACGAACCTTCCTTTATTCGGACGCACTTGATCATCACCACCCTGAAAACCGCTGTGCGAATTGAGCCTTCAACCTCTTCGAGAGGAAAGATTTTGCGTGAAAAAAATCGATAGAGATTAACATAGCACTCCTTCTTATAACACAGCAAGGTAGGTGGTTGCTGAAGGCTTGCATCGCGATCATTGGTTCATATTTGGCATTCTTTGTTTGCAATGGTGATGATAATCAACGAATGTTGATCTTTCTATGATGATTTCTTACAAATTCCTACTAATGATTCATCTTTTCACCAACATTGGAACGAACTACTTCCATATTCCCTTTTCCTTACATTACAATTCTTTATTAATTGATATCATTGATGATGATTCATCATCGCCTCTGCTCTTAATTCTGGACTTTTTTCAAAATATGGTCTTGGTGTGCTTGCTGTCTGAATATGTATTGAAAATCGAAAAATTTCAATCTTTGTGTGTTATTATATTGACCTGCTTGACTACATTATTACTGACTTGATTCCTTCTTATTCCTTCTTTTTTCTTTCGAAACAAAATAATCACAAACCTCGGAAAATCTTTTTTCATCTTCCAACAATTTTGGCAATCAACAACACCATTCTTCATCCTTCCCAATCCTCATCATTCTTCACTATGGCATTCTCTTCGACTCTTTGCAATATGTTCATTCAAAAACGTCTCTCCTTGTTCTGCATCCTCATGATGATCATTTTGATCATGCCATCGATGAAATTTGTCATTGCCATTCATAATCATTCCAATCCCGAAACACTACTTTCATGTCCTTGTTGTGGTTGTTTACTTTCGGATCATCATTCGTCCATAACTTCGCACCACTTGAACTCTCCAAAACGATCATCATCATTTTCTCTTCATTCCTCTCCTCTCCTCTCCTCTCATGGAAATACCATTATAGATCGATCTTTACAATCATTCATTCAACAAATGGAACCTCAAAATTACGTTTTTTCTTCACAGTGCAGCTCTCAACAAGGACACTGCTTTTACCCTTGAGGATCGAAAGAAATTTGGATTGAGAGGTTTGTTGCCACCTCGTGTGGAGACGATCACTCATCAATTAGTGAGAGCTTTGAGACAATTTCGTTCTTTTAAGAATCCGTTGGATAAATATATTTATTTGATGAGCTTGCAGATGCGAAATCAAACATTGTTTTTCAGATTGTTAGTTGACAATATGGTGGAAATGTTGCCTATCGGTAAGTGTGTTCTAATATGATGACGAGTTCATGTTGAATATCAATTTCCCAATTTTTGAAAATACCATACTTAATAATAATATTTTAAATAATTTTCAATTCTTGCATTTCATGAAAATATTGAAATCATTTTGGGCTGAATCATGTGAAACGTAAACAACTGCTTCTTACAACATTCCTCACAACAGTCTACACACCTACTGTCGGTGATGCTTGTCTTCAATTTGATCAAATCTGGCGTGTCTCTCAAGGAATGTACATCTCCCTTGAAGACAAGGGCTCCATTCCAGAAATTCTCAAAAACTGGAACAAGACACCTGACATTATTGTCGTTTCTGACGGTTCTAGAATTCTCGGTCTTGGAGATTTGGGTGCCAACGGAATGGGTATTCCAATTGGAAAACTCAATCTCTACGTTGCTGCAGCTGGATTCCATCCAGAGAAGACTCTTCCAATTTTGATCGACGTTGGAACTAACAATGAAGGATTATTGGCTGATGAATTGTATTTGGGATTGAAAAGAAAGAGAGTGAGAGGACCTGAATTTTATGAACTCATGTCTGAATTTATGAGTAGTGTGAAAAAGCAATGGCCTAATTGTTTGGTGCAATTTGAAGATTTTTCAAATGATGTTTGTTTTGATTTATTGGATCAATATAGAGATGTGCAATTGTGTTTCAATGATGATATTCAAGGAACTGGAGCTGTTATTGGTAAGTTTGTGAACTGAGAATGTGTGTGAAATTTGTTAATGCATGATCATATAATGGTCTGACTTTAATGTTCAATTCTTGACCACTCACTCAGTCGCTGGATTTTTGAATGCGGCCAAAATTACTGGTAAAAGAGCCTATCAACACAAATTACTTTTCATGGGAGCTGGTTCAGCTGCTACTGGAGTTGCCGATCAATGTTTGGGTGTTATGAAAATTCAAGCAGAACAAGATGGAACTCCAAAAGAACAAATTGAAACTGATTCTGAACATTGGATTTATTTGGTAGATTCCAAAGGATTGGTCACTCAAACTCGTTCTGATTACAATGACATGCCACATCATAAGAAGAAGTATGCCAAGAAGGGAGATGAGACTTTGGGAAATTTCCAATCGAATTCCTTGTTGGAAATTATTAAGAAGGTGAAACCTACTGCAATTATTGGGTTGTGTGGACAATCTGGAGTTTTCACAAAGGAAGTCATTCAAGAAGTTTCCAAATTGAATGAAAAGCCAATCGTATTCGCTCTATCAAATCCAACCAAGAACTCGGAATGCACTGCAAGAGAAGCTATTGAATATTCTGATGGAAGAGCAATCTTTGCCTCTGGATCTCCATTTGACGATGTCGAATATAATGGAAAGATTTATCAACTCAGTCAAGGAAATAACTTGTACATTTTCCCTGCACTTGGATTGGGAGCAGTCGTATCGAAATCTCGTCATGTGACTGACCACATGATTTTGAAAGCAGCTCAAACCTTGTCCGATCTCACTGATGAAGATCGATTGCAAAGGGACTCTTGTATCCAAGTTTGACAAACATTAGACCGATTGCCCAAAAGATTGCCATTGAAGTTGCAAAACAAAGTGTCAAAGAAGGAATGTCACAATTAGAAGAAAGTGAAATCCCAAAGAATGATGAAGAATGGGAACAACTTGTGAAAAGTCACGTTTATATGCCAGATTATGTGGATTCTAAATTGTAATTGTTTTGGTTGAGAATTTCGATGGTTATTGCTGTGAAGCACTCACTCGGTGATTAAAGACAACCATCATCTGCATCATCATCCAGTCAGCTCTCTCAAGGAGCTTGTTGTTTCATGACGAGAACGTTACTTTTTCTTTTTGGCTTTCTTTTCCTTTGCAGAGGTTGTGTCTGTTGTTTTTCTTTTTTTGGCTTGATATTTCTTTTTCGAAGAAGATTTCCTCTCGTTGTCCTCTTCATTGTTATCCTCCATTTCTTCATCGTCGTCCTTAGTTGCTTTCTTTTTCTTTTGTGTGCGCTTTTCCTCACCCTCCTCTCCATCATTTTGAT